AGAAAGAAAGAAAGAAAAATAATTTTACACACCTTGCCAGAGATTCATAGTCTCAAACCCACGGAGCCACCCTCCCAGCCTCGTCCCTGCTGCCTCCAAGGTCAGCCCTGGTGGCACAAGGGCCCCCAGCTCCCCCCATGCTGCGTTATTTACTGTCTTGCCGGGGACGTTCAGGAGAGAGAATGACAGCTGGCAGCGCGGAGGACGGATTGACTGGCTTAAGTTGGGAGAGAAGATACAGGTGGCAGGTGTCTCAGGAAGCACAGCAGAGCGTGCGGAGAGGCCCGCTCCTCAACGCCGCTGCAGCTCCCGGCAATCACAGCAGCGGGCTCTGCAAGGGGGGGACAGGCGTGGGTGTGCTCCAAGCCACCAACCTGCTCGCAACAAGCCTAGGATAATGAATGAGCCATCAGCCTGCGCCTTTGCTCTCCGAGGAAATGACCTCCCCCGGCAGGCCGTCCCTCTGCAAACACCACCGTGCCCAGGAGCCATCTGGCAAATGTGCCCTTCCTTCAGCGTTGCTGCTGTTTCCCTGACATGTGGCCCTTTCTCTCGGATATAAATTGTTGCAGCAAACCTAGCCAGCAGCACGCTTCCCGGCGCTTCCCAGGCTTTTCTCGGAGCCAGGGTAAACCCTGTGGCTCGCTGCCACCGGCTGCTGACAGCTAACTACGTCCTCCAGACGCGCGTCTCCCCGCTGCGCGGAGCCTGTGGGTGTTGGCGTGTGCAGGGCCGGCGTATGAGCTGCAGACCAGAGCCGCAGCAACCTGATCGAAGGGCTGAGGGAAAGCACATATCCGCTGCGGGACATCCTTCACGGAGAAGGGACAGGCTAACTCCACCCCGGTCTGCAGAGGACTTGGCCAGCTCCCTGAGGAGCCGCACGGCTCGCCACAGCTGTAGGGCAGGTCACGTGCTCCGGCCACACAGGGGAGGGCGGCCTGCAAACTGAAACCACTCACGGCGGTCTCCGGGCCTCATTTAGTGCAGAGCCAGGTTCCTCCTCTGGTCTGGCTTGATGGTGTGCAAGGCTGGAGAATCGTGGGTCACTCTGAGGCCGCCAAAGCCAGCCCCCAGGCTCCAGCCTGCTTCGCCGATTCTGACACGGAGCACAGAGAAAGGCGGGAGCTGGAGGAGAGGCTCGTTCCCGGATCCGTTCTTCGGGTCACTCATCTCCTTGGTGATGGGCTTCCAGACCCGGAGGCCACACTGAGCCGGCAACCATACCCCCTCCCCCAACCCACTGAGTACCGGATCACTCGGAAGGTGGGAGAGGAAGCCGGCGACGCGAAGACTCCATCACCCTAACGACTGCGACAGGCAGTTCCTATGCATATTCACACCTTCCTGCCGTAGTACATACGGTTCCTTCTGTCTTGAATACATCACGCCTTAGCCGCTCGGCAAACTCCTACATGGTCTTTCAAGATTCAGCTCCAGCCCAGCAGAGCGGCTCACATCTGTAGTCCCAGGACTCTGGTTGCTGAAGCAAGAGGATTGCAGGTTCAAGCCCAGCCTGGGCAGCTTAGAGACTTTGTATGACCCTGCCTCAAATCAAATCAAATCAAATCAATCAATCAATCAATAGGCTGGGCATGCAGCTCAGTGCAAATGCCCTGCGTTCAATGCCCAGTACCATCAAAAAAAAAAGGAAGGAGGAGGATAGATGCTGGGTGTGGTGGTGGACACCTGTGATCTCAGCACTTGGGAGGCTGAGGCAGGAGGATCACTGCAAGTTCAAGGCCAGCCTGGGCTACATATACTAAGATCTTGTCTCAAAAAACCAGAAAGAGCCAGGTGTGGTGGCATACACCTGTAATCCCAGCACTTGGGAGGGTGGGGCAGGAGGATTGTTCCAAGCTGGAGACCAGCTTGGGCTACAAAGCAAGCTCAAGGCTATGAACTGCATAGCGAGACCCTGTCTAAAAAAAAAAAAAAAAACAACCACACACACAGAAAGAAAGAAAGAAAGAGAGAGAGAGAGAGAGATTGATTGATTCAATGTCAGCATCTCCTGCGTGGGCTCCTTTTTGCTGCCATATACTTTGCATCCATTTTCACCTCAGTACCTGCCAAATTGTACTTGCAGGTTTTTGTTTTGTTTTGTTTTTTTCTTTTTGAGACAGGGTCTCATATGTAGTCCAGGCTGGCCTTGAACTCATCATGTGGCTTAGGCTGGCCTCAAACACAGCAATCCTCCCGCCTCAGCCTCCCAAGTTCAGGGACTATAGCTGTATGCCATCACACCTGGTAGATTTGTAGTTTTTTCAATGTTTTTTTCCACCTGAATCTCTCTTTTTCTTTCTTTCTTTTTTTTCCTCCTTTCTTTCTCTCTCTCTCTCTCTCTCTCTCTCTCTCTCTCTCTCTCTCTCTCTCTGGTACTGGAGATTGAAACGAGGGCCTTCACACTGAGCTACATCCTCAGCCCTTTTGTACTCTTTATTGTGAGGCACGGTCTCAGTCACTAAACTGCCCAGGCTGGGTCTGAACTTGGGATCCTCCTGTCTCAGCCTCCCAGACCTTCCAGAGTGCTGAGATTACAGGTATGCCCCACCATGCCTCTCACTCAGGGCAAAACTATTCTCACTAACCTCAGCGTAGGTGGTTTAGTCTATAAAAATGTTTATCTGCAGTGTTTTGGGAGAGAAAATCGCACATCACAGAATTAACAGATGAATTCTCCTGCCAAAGTCTGCTAGTCCTTCTCACTTGTTTCACAAAAGACAAGACTGAAGATTGGAAAACTGTGCCTTCCCCAGGGTCACAAGGCTAAACAACGGCAGACTCTGGACGAGTGCCCAGGTTTGCTGACCCCTGGGCCTAAGGACTCACACGCTGAGCCAGGCGCCCCCGTCCTGCCTGGGAAGAAGGGCTGAGGGCAGGGACAGGCTTCCAGGCCAGCGCGGAGGAGAGCAGGGGCGGAGGGGCATGAGCACGTCTCAGAGCTGGCGGGGGCGTCATGCTCATCTCGTCCAAGCCCTGCACATGCAGGTGAAGAAACAGAGGCCAGCAGGGCCGAGGCGGCCGCCCGAGGTCACACTCTGGCGAGGGAAGGAAGCTGAGGGTGCACCCTCGTCTGCGGAGCCTGCTTCGGCCTGACCGTTGCGTCTGGGAGAGGTGAGTGTTAACCTCCCGTGCGGAAAAGGCGGACGGCAGAGCCCCCAGCCGGCTGCTACCCAAGGGCCAGACTCCTGGAGCCTTCGGCTCTTCTAGGCTTTTCTTTCCCTCTCCTGGTGCCCAGCGCTTAAGTAGGGTGCAGTCTGCATAAATAATAATGAAGGGAGGAGGCCGGCGTCTGGGCAGGCCGCGTGGCAGATGGTATTTTCAGTGCGCGCGTGAAGTCCTCCCTCCCCGGCCACGCGGCTGGAAGCTGCAGGAAGATTTCAGGGCCCACCGTTGTGCTTCTCTGCTGCCGCCACTCTTCTGTCCAGGGCCATTTTCCTGGTGCCAGTGACCTCTCACCTTCCTGAACCCAGAGCTCCAGGGTGTCCCGGCCTCCAGGGGTGCTGCCATCCCTCATCCCCCGAAAGCCACCCTCGAGGACCACAGGCCAGTCTCACCGCAGCCCTACCTGGACTAGCCGTGGGCTGAGTGGATGTCTTCCCCAAAGCAGGCCAGGGAGTCCTAGGAGGCCGGATGCTGGCACACCGGATGGCCTTCCTTCGCGTACTCATATACAGGGGGCGGGCTCATTCAAGGAACGAATGCTTTTGGGGACTTTCTGTGTGCCAGGCATTGGTCTAGGAGCCCAGGATACTGCTGTGAACAAACAAAGCCAAGTCCTTGCCCCTGGGGACACTACCTTCTAACACAAAGGCCACACACGGACCTTGTGGCTAAGTGCCTTCCCCTGACCTGGCCCTCGCAGCTCCTGTCTCTCTACAGTGTCTGCCGGGGCACACCAGTGCCCGCCCGCACGGCGCAGCAGGGAAGCAAAGCAACCCCCTTCTGGGGGACCCTGCACGTGGCCCACTTAAGAGACACAGAGCGGCTGGGCATGCTGGCACTCACTTACAGTTCCAGCTGCTTGGGAGGCTGAGGCAGGAAGATTGTGAGTTCAAGGCCAGCCTGGACAACTTGGTGAGACTCCTTCTCTTAATTTTTTTAAAGTAAGAGGAAACAAAGCAGATAATAGACCAATGTTTGCTTTTGCTCCAAAACCAGGAGTGGCCTCCAAAATTTCTGACTCACCCAAGCCGCAAGCCTGCAGCTGGACCGGCCGGGTTGGGCCTCTGCTTTAGTCTTGCCCAGCTGCCGGAGGAGAAGTGTCTGCCTGCAGCGGGCAGAGCCAAGAACAGGGTATCATTCAGGGAAGGGCGTGGACTTCCCTCCTAAAGTAAGAAATCGGATAAGAGGAATGGAAGTCAAGGCTCCTCTGGGCCCAGGGATTTTAGCGCTCCCGTTTGTAAAATGAAAGCGGTCGCGGCCGTTCCGTGGGCCTTTTGGAGAACGAAACCAAATGACAGATGTGGAAGTGTTTCGAAATAAAAGCGGCAGACACCCAAGTATATCATTATACTACACAGAACAACCGTTTCTCCACAACATAAAACTTGTCTTCTGCGGGGGGCTGAGAGTAATAACTGTGTAATTAGACTTCGTGTCATATCAAGAGAGGCAGGCTCTGTTTTTCATTAAACAGACGTGGGCTCAGCTTCTCCGCTGTGCAGTGTTGTGTACTGTGATGGATGCAAAACTGAATAAGCCATAATCCTCCCCTTCAAAGAATTCACATTCTGGTCTCAGGAAGATAAAAAACAAGAAAGTGCTTCCGAGGAAGGAGGGGTCTGTCTGGGATCTGGAGTCAAGGAAAGGCTTGGAGAGGGAGAAAGCACTGACCAGAGATGCACAGCATAGAACAGGAGGAGCTGGCACAGTGACATACACCTGTAAGCCCAGCATTCAGGAGGCTGAGGCAGGAGGATCGCTGTAAGTTCAGGGGCAGCCTGTGCTGCCACATATTCAAGGCCAGCCTGAACTACATAGTGAGACCCTGTCTCAAAAAAATGAACAAAAACAAATTATAAAAAAGTCAACAAGATCAGCCACAATATCCACTGAGCAGACAGGACCGTCCTAGGGCGTGACTGAGGTCATTCAGAAGTGTTGCCAACCCTGGAGATGGCAGGCGAGGAAGGCGAGAGCAGGCGGAGCTGTTGGTGGGTTCCCTGAAGGAGTGACTGATTAAATCTTGGGACTGGGAATGCTTCCTCTGTACTTTTCCGAGCTCCACTTTTGAGCGCCCGTCCTTCTCTTTGAAAGGGTTCCGTGTCTGTGAACCTAGACGTCTTTCGGTAATGATTTAAGTGACTCAGAAAATATGGGGCCCCGGAGTGCAAGGAAGAGAAGAAAGGAGAGGGAAAAAGCAGCCTTGTCCTGTTTGATCTCGCAGGGGACAGGCAATCCTGGGAGCAGGCCGGGCCAGGGCTGGGGCTGAGGGCGGCTGGGCTCCCAGCGGTGTTCTCCTCCCAAGCTGCTGCGTCTGCTGTTGGGACTTGCAGACTTCAAACAGGACTGGGGGATTCCTGGAAGACAAAAGAATTCAGGGCCCAGGCTTGGATCACAGTCAAAAATAACTCACGTCTTCATCTCAGGCAGGCAAATGGCAGCAGCTTGGGGCTGGTTTGCTGGTTTCTCTGAAGACTGGCGTTACAGGTGGGGACAGGGTCTGCTTAGGTTTGCTGGGGAGACAGGAGGAGCTTTGCAGGGTGCAGCCCGGCTGAGGGAGCCGGGAGGGTGGGAAAGCGCTGCAGAAGAGGCCCGTGGAAGAGGCTCTGGATGCAAAGTCACCCCGCCTGCCCCCCTTCCAGGCCGGCGCTGCCACTTGCTTTGAGTGATAATTACAGCCTTGAGTGTTCCTTCCCCGGCTGCTCATTAGCTTCAGGTGTCCACAAACAAACCGCTCCGCTCCCCAAGGCTCCGCCCGGCACTTCAGCGGAGGCCCCTTCCTTCTGGCTCCCGCTCTAGGAACATCAGACCCCTACAGGCACTTAACACAAAGCCCTCCCTTCACCTGAAGGGTGCAGAGCTGAGCCGGGGCCCATGACCTCGCCTCTCCCCAAGATCCCACTGGGCTGTAATTAGGGGATTATCTCATTTTCTCCCAGGAGGCCAGGCTCCCATCTAACCCTCCCCGTCTCTCAGCACCTTGGCCCAGGCCTGGCACCTCATGGACACTCAGAACATGTTCGCCAATGGCGCTGGTGAGCAGCTGCCAGCTTGGTCTTCCTAAAATGCTGCTCCACTGAAAGTGCCACCACTTCACGACCCGCCGGACAAGGCCCAGCGTCCTCTGACCCATACTCCAGGACTTCTCACCCGCCCGGCCATCCTCCTGTGCTCAGCCCCTTAATGGTCCCTGACATGGTGCACAGCTGTGCCCTCTCTATGCCTTTGCGGCAGCTGTTCCCTCTGCTCAGAAACCCTTCCACACCCTGGACCCCAGAGCGGCCCCTCCTTCCAAGGTTCTTCTCACAGCGTACTGGGGCCTCTTGGGGTTCCAACAGCTCTTCCCTAGGACTATGGTTTGGAGCTGTGGTTCCCCTAAAGTACCACATCTTTAAAAAAGTTGGTCCCCAGGATAGCAGAAGACTTTTAGGTCAGCGGGGTTGGCGTCTACAAGGGGACTATGGGATCCCATTCTTCCTTTTTCCCTTTTGCTTCCTAGCCACAAGGTGAAGAGTTTTGCTCTGCCATGCACTCCTGCCACGTTGTGCTTCCCGGCCACTGGCCCAAAGCAGTGGGGCCAGGTGATCATGAACTGCCACGTCTAGAACTGTGAGCAACCTTTTCTCTTTATAAGTTGATTGTCTCAGGGGTTTTGTTACAGTGTTGGGAAGCTAACTAACATACCTAGACTCTTATGCTGTTCTTCACTGCCTTACAGTGTCTCATCGAGGACTTTCAAAAAAGTCACAAGTGTGGAGTGCTGCCAAAATGAGGAGCAGGATACAAATGCTGGTTGGCATTGTTTGCTGCCAGTTGTCGCCAGGCCCCAAGCATTCTCCTAGGGCAGGCCTGTGTGCAGCCCATGCTGAGGCATCTGCGAGTGCTTGGCCCATGGTGGCTGGTGAGTGAAAGCGAGTGGAAACCATGATCATTCCCGCTATGGCCCCTTCCTGTGCAGAATGTGTCCACCCTTTGGCTGTCGTAAATTGGGGTGGGACAGAAGGCATCAGGTAGCCCGGTCACTCCCATCCCTTGAACCCCAGACGCCTGCCCCACTGCCCGGAGGTCTGACCTTGTTGCAGGTTCCCCAGAGTGGGCTGGGTGGAGAGGCTGAGGCCACACTGAGGACTTCAGGTGAGAGGTGGCCTCAGGCTCACAGAGGTCACTGGGCATCACAACTCGCCCTGATGGTCTCTAAATCAGGATGGTCACTTCCCTCCCAGCAGGGCCCAGGGCAAGGACTCTGGTGAGAGGCGAGAATTCTTTCCTTGGAGACTCAGGAACACCATCTGCCAAGGTCAGGCAAGAGCTCCTGGGGCAGACGGAGGCAGGAGATTCCCTGTGGGTACTCAGGTCCTCCCTCTCCTGACCCTGCTGTCCTGGGACCTTCTGGGAAGGCTCTCTCCCGGCCCAGCGCTCAGGCCAACCTCCCTCCTATCTATACCCTAACTGCAGTTAGAGGGATATTTTTTTGAGACAGGGTCTTGCTATGCTGCCCAAGTTGGCCTTGAACTCCTGAGGTCAAGGGATTCCTCCTGCCTAAGTCTTCAAAGCAGTTGGGACTACAGGCATGTGTCACCAAAAATGTCAAGTATCTTTTTGTTTTTGTTTTCAATACTGAGGGTTGGGCTGGGATATATAGCTCAGCAGCATAAGCACCTACCTGGTAAGCACAAGGTCCTGAGTTCTATTCCCGGCACCAAAAAAAAAAAAAATTAAAATACTGAGGGTTAAACCTAAGGTCATTACACTGAGCTGCACCCCAGCCCTTTTAAATTTTTTTTTTTTATTATTATTTTGAGACAAGGCCTCAGTAAGTCACTAATTTCCCTAGGTTAGGCTAGAACTTGCATCTTCCTGCTTCAGCCTCCCAGAATGCTGAAATTACAGGTGTATGGTGCTGTGCCCAGCTCAGAGAGATCTTTTTAAATGTTAATCTCCTGCCCACAATCCTTAGCGGCTCCCCATTGCTGTTAGGATGATGACCAAGGTCTTCATAAACTTACATTCCTTCCTAACCTTGCCCTCCAGCAGGACGCTTTCCATGGGACACCTTCTCTATTTTCCAGCCAGAGCAGATTGTTCCTTTTCTGTACCGCACTGCCGCACATGCCCAGCCTTTGCCTGTGCTGTTTTTTCTGCCTGGAGCGGCTCTTCTTCACCTTTCCAAGTTGCCTAATTATTTGGGGGGGGGTGTCCTTCAGGATGCACATGGACCCTCTCCTTTGGCTTCCCTGGAATCCAGGACATATCCTTGTGTTGATCAAGCCTGCTGGCCCCGATTAAACCATTTCTATAGGGCAGGGTCCCATCCATTCGGTATTCCCACAGCTAACAGAGCTCAGTAAAGGCTCACACGTGTAACAGAGGCTGCTGAGGTCCCTTTCACCCGAGGGGAGAGCAGAGTGGTTAGGACGATAAAGCCGTCACTGGGCTGGAGAAGCCATAAGCGTCAGCGAGGGTCAGGACACTGCAGGGCTGCCGGGCTTCACGGCAGAGTGGCCAGCTCCTCCCTGTGCCAACTTCTCCTTCAAGTTCCCCTGGAACCGGGCTTCCCGGCTCCTTTCTGCCCCTTCCCGAAGGTCTGCATAGAGCAGAGTCAGCGCCCAAGCAAGTCATGCAGGTGACAGCGGTGGGTGGACGAAGCGGTGACACCAGCCCTGGGGTCCCCCCAGCAACGACCTATGGGTTCCCAGCAGCTGCTCATCCTTCTGGGTTTCTTTCCACGAAGAAGTCCGCCTCTCTTCTGTCCCCTGAAGTCTGTTTTCAAAATCACACCCCATACAGACAGTTTTATTTACAAGGAAATCTTGGCAGGATCTTGACTTGTTAGTAGAGTAAGGATTGGGGGAGGGTGGTAAGTAACAAAAATAGTTGAAATGATCACACTTTCTGAGAGCGAGATGAAAATTGGTGTCTGTAGCAAACTCACCTAATTAGAACGGAGTTCATTTCCTTCTTGGTGTTTAAGGGGAGCAGCCACTGCGGGGCCAGCTGGTCACAGGTGGGACCCTGGGGCTGGGTTACGCCTTTGCTTTATGAAGATGACAGCATTAATTGCAACTTTCACTAACAGAAAAGGAGGCTCAGCTTCTGAGCGCAAGAGGGGCACAGGCGGATGGGCGAGCGACCGGGTGGTGGGAAGGGTCGCGGACAGACACCGACAGGAAGTACGGCCAGGAACGAGCCCCCCTCCTCCAGGAGAGCCGACCGCCTGCCTAGGGGAGATGGCTTTTTCCTTAAAAGATCCTTTACCCCTCTGCTAACTTCATTCCTGCTTTCTCATTTCTTTACCTCCCCTCTCCCAGGTAGGGCACGCCGCCCGGGGCTCAGCGTGGTCGGCGAACCCTGCACAGGGTCACAGAGCTCTGAGCGGACCGGGGGCAAAGGTTTAGGGTTCGGTTCCCGAGCCTCGCTATCTGACTTCTCCCACCCCTAGGCTTTCCGGACCTCCCAGAGCGTGCGATCGCGGAGAAGAGAGAAGCAGAAGGGTGGCTGCGGTGGGGGGTGCCCAGCCCTCCCAAGTTAACCCTGACGTTACCAAAGGAGTGGAAAACCTCGCCTGTGCCTCCGCCACAAATCTGCAGCCTCCAAGTGCTCGATAAGCCGGTGGGGGAGACGCACCCCAGTCCCAGCGGTGGCTGCGGGTCACGGCGCGGGGGACGCGGCGCGGTCCCCACCCCTGCCCGG